TTAATAACATATATAAAGACAAAAAGAAAACTTATCTTTGCCAACACATTTCATTCTTTGTGGGACTTCATCAAGGCAACTGCAAGAATTTTCTTTATATTTATATACAACAGCAAAAATGTTATTGGTTTTTCAAACTTTTTGTGTTTAGGAATGTTCATTGATTGAGAAGAAAATGTTTTTCTCCTTTTTTTTGTATCAATCCATTACTTGACTCTATTAATGATATAACACCAAAAATAGAAAAACACTATGACAGAAGGTGAAACCCTGAAATCAGTCATGGTAAATCATATACAAAGGAAAAGGCAAGTGTAATGAAGTGATATTTTTCTATTATTGTTCCCCCCAATGCAAGGCCCAAGAGCCACACATGATAGAGGTTTACTGAATGAGGTTGTTGTATGAACATAAAAGGAGCAGGTCAGAAGTGAAGATTATGAGAATATGTAGGACTATGTATTTAAAGAGATTAAAATTGTAGTGGTTGGTAAAGCATACTCTTGAGTCTGTTTCACAAAGTAATGACTCTTAGAAAGAAGCTCTTTGAATAGAACTTCCTTCTCACCATTGGAATATGATGGGAATGAAGATGGTTTACCTCTGTGTACATATCCTAACAAGTCTTAGCTGTAAAGATCTGAACTGGTGGAACTAAGTAATATAGCTTGTCTGAACATTTCCCATGGAAATAGCAATAGTGTAATGAGAGGTTTGTGAAACAGTGTCTGTGGGGAAAAGGATTGTAAGGTGGAAAATAATTCTAATATTTCTTTAGTTAGTCTAGATTAGTGTTGGTAAAGCCCTGGCCCCAATATGTCTATGATGTGTGAGAGACTGCCCAATACTGCTCATTTCTTCTTTTCGGCAGTTGTTTATATCTATCTGTCCAACATTGTCATTCTCACACTTACTATGCCAGATCAAGATGTAAGGTCATCTACTTCTGCATCTGGCATCCTTTGATAGTCTGGTTTAAAATTTTTATGCAATACCACACAAATATACTACTATGTCTGGATTTAAATGAGATAAAAGCCTATGCTGAAAGTTCTTTGAACTATTATAATTATGAAAATGATACTAATACATTCTTGCTTTTTATCCAAATTTCACTGAAGCTGTTAAACAAAGGCAGTAAGTAAACAAAGAAAGATTGGAAATAAAAGATCATCTCTAAGTGAGATTCAAATACTGAATAGATATTTGTTACAGAATCCAAATGCCAAGGCCAGAATGGTCAGTGATTGGCTGGAGTGACTCGTGGACAGGGCATTCTCACAGTCATTGATTGCCTTTGTCTAAGTTTTGAATATAAATCCAAAATGACGCGAATTCAACAGAGGATCTCAAGGATTCTGAAGCATCTATATGCCTACCGTACCTAGATTTGTGTCTGCTAATACCACCTGTGGAGGTATGCTGAGCCAATGTGCAACATGCAATTCCTGTGCCATCAGTCCTACTGCTGCCTTTTAGAATTCAAGCTGCCACTCTTAATAAAATGAATATCAAAAGAAAATGATTCTTTTTGTTGATTCCATCTTATTTGTTAGTGACAACACAGAATGTAACATAGTCAAATGTTTTTTTATCTTCACAGTTAGTGAGACCTCACTTAGGAACAAACTCTTTTGTACATGTGTGCATATGATCTAATTAAATGGAATTTTAAATTTTAACCTAATAAATTTGTAGCAGAAATGAAATGATGATGGAACAGCCAATTGCTACTGATACTGGTACCTGCCCCCATTGGTTAAAGAGACAACGTATAGTGTGCTGTCTCTGCAGAAAGACAGTATATGGCTGCTTTACCAGAAGAGAGCTGGTACAAACCCTGGAATGTCTGGTTATGAAGAAATAAAGTTTCAATCATCTTCTCCATGAGATAGTCAGGACTGAGCAGTGTTAGCTATGCAAATGATTCCTTTGCTAGCCAACTGCTAAACTTTCAGGCTCCATAAAAAAAGGCACATTGTCTGGGAAAATGGTAGTATCTTGAAGTGTGTTATGTTGACCACACCATGGTTTAAAAAGATTAGTATGAATATTCCAATTTGAATTTGATTCTTGATACAAGTTCTGTAGCAGAAATGAAATGAAGATGGAACAGCCAATCCCTACTGATACCAGTACCTGCTCTTGTCAGTCAAAGAGATGATATTTAGTGTCCTGTCTCTGCAGAAAGATAGCACATGGCTGCCCTACCAGAACAGTGCTGGTACAAACCCTGGAACATCCAGTTATGAAGAAACAAAGTCTCAACCATCTTCCCCATCAGATAGTAGGGACAGTGTGCCAAGCAGTGTTAGCTGTGCAAATGATTCCTTTGCTAGCCAACTGCTAAGTTTTCAGGCTCCATAAAAGCAGGCACATTTTCTGGGAAGAGGTAGTGTCTGACAATGTGTCATGTTGATCACACCATGGGTTATCCAAAATCATTTCAAATTTGTTCATCCTTTGTGTTTAAACTATAGAAAATGAAAAGCTGCCAGGCTCATTATTACCAATAACAACATGCCTATTAAATCTAAACTTAAGATGACTAATAGGTATCTTATGATAAATAAATTATCTATGTTGGATGATGACAAACCACTTAAGTCATCTCAGTGCCATAAAAATAATACCTAGACACCCAAAAACAACTGCGTGCCCCCATTAGAAAAATTGTTGTTGACAACAGTTGTGTGCAAGGCAAGCACATTCACCCTGTAAAAACCTGCTTGCTATGGAAACCAGTAATACCCAGCGTGGTGAAGCTGTGGCCTCTTCTTTTGTTGGTAGTCTACATTATATATAACAGATATCTATAATAATAAAATATTAAATTTTAATAGAATAAATTGTCAAGACAATATTATTTTAAGAATCTTTTTCTAAAAATTAACAAAAATCGATTCTTTGTCGCTAGATTAATAAAAAAATATATCAAAGGCCTCATAATTTTTTCCATTCCTTCACCGTTTTTCTATCTTCTTTACAATTCTCAAGTGTATAAATTCTTTAAGAAATCCATTTTTAAGTCTGTTGGCTGCTGGTTTTTCCAAACACTCTTCTTGAGGATTTCAATAATGTCTGTAAAAGAAAAGTGTTGACTCAGCAGTTTCTAGTATTTATTTTATCAATGGCAACAGAATTGAAATTTTAAAAAAATGTTTGCGCTTTCTCTTGATGTAAAAATTCTCACTGATCTTAAAAGAAAATTATAAAAAGATATAAAAAATACTAGACCTGACAAAACTTGAAATGTTTTGTAAATCTTCAAGGGGAATTAATCAGGTTTTGTTTTTCTCAGCTGAAAATATTGCTAAGTTTCCAAATGTGAAAATTTTGAACACTTGATGTACCTAGTGCAGTCCTCCAAATATTTGAACTTTATTTCAAATATAAGTAAAATTTATGTAATGATGATCTATTTTTGAAAAACATATCCTTTTTGATAATAAGACATTTTGATTGAAAGAATGTTTTTGTTCTTAATACAGGGTTTTACTTTATTCTAACAAAGTTATAATTTTAGTTGATTATAGCACAACACACACACACACACACACACTCAGTTGTATGGATATGAGTTTGTGACCCTGGGTTTCATGGTTTTGCAATCATCATACGAAAGTTTGATGATTGCAAAAGCGTGAAAACAGTCTAAACTCATATCCATACAACTGAATATGTTAGCTCTATCACTGATATTGAGAACTTTCCAATAAGTACTGCACATATAAAATAATTATATATATATATATATATATATATATATATATATATATAGAGAGAGAGAGAGAGAGAAATAATTAGGAGGATTTGAAATAATCATAATTAAGTAATTCATTGAGTCTAGAAGAAACCTCAACAGAATGCAGAAAGCACTGGACGGCCGTTTCGTCATATATTTGAGAATCATTAGCATTGCGCATCCACTACCAAGAATCGTAACTGTTTGGGTTTCAATTCTCAGTAGTGGATGCGAACTGCTGATGAGTCCTAAATATAGGACAAAACAGCCGTCCAGTGCTTTCTGCATTCTGTTGAGGTTTCTTCTAGACTCAATGAATTATTTAATTATGATATATGATAAAGAACAAATATGAAACATTTATCAATATGACATGTAAAATCATAAATATTGCTTTATGCATATAACTGTATAATAATTCTAGTTTGTCTCTGTGGGATTCAGATTATAATGTCTATATATGTATGTGTGGGTGTATTATGTATATATATGTGTGTGTGAGTGTATAATGTGTATATATGTATGTGTGGGTGTATAATGTGTATATATATATGTGTGAGTGGGTGTATAATGTGTATGTATATATGTGTGAGTGTTTAGTAGACATTATGTTTGATGTTTTTTCGCATGTTGATTTGGGAACATTTTTACACACACACACACACACATATATATATATATATATATATATATATATATATATATATTTTTAGATTAACATATATTAGATTCTTTAAGAATGGATTCCATAAAGGTTGGTGATGTAATATAATGTTTTTGACGTTTGTTTATAGATAGTAATATTGTTTTTATTAGTCCCTTGAAGTGCTTTTGATCTAAAGAATTACATTCTTTCTTAATTAGGTTGGCATTTGTAAAATCAAAGTTATGGCCAGTTTTTTCTGTTCATACTTGACCTATATTTAATCCCAACTCATATACTTGGTATAACAACAAAATTAGCTAAATTGTGTAACAGCAAAATTGTCTGAATGTTATATATATATATATAATTTATATAAGAATATATATATATATATATATATATATATATATATATCCCTTTATTCTACATTCAACATCATCACTTGATAAGACACCAGATGTGTTGAAACAAAATGTCTATTTTTTAGTGAGTTTATAACATATTTATGTTATAATTTTCAAATAAATAATTATATATATATATATATATATATATATATATATATATATAAATGATGTAATGAATTAATACATTTTATTTCATTTCCAGGTATGATGAAGAAAAAGAACAGGTGACGCAATATCAGCAAGTATTTTTGGAGGATATTGAAAAAATTGAAATTGGTAAGGTTTTTATGTTTCTTTTTTTTTTTCCTTTTTGTTTCACTCCAAGCACGGCAATAATGTTACTGATATGTAAGGGAATACTGGAAGTGTAAGAGAATGAGAAAACTTTTATGAGGAAAAAGGACGATAAAAGAATCAGATAAAGGAAGACAGAAGATTGTAATTGATTTTGCATCTAAATTTTTGAAGATTGTAGATGGCAGGAAAATAAGAGATTGGAAAAGAGTTCCACAACTGAGAATTGCAAAAAAAGAAACTATTAGGATAGAACTTAGGATTACCTCTAGCTATTTCAACTGTAATATGATGAGGTTTATCTGTCAATTTAATACTATGCTTAAATTCATACAGTCAAGATACGAAAGATGAAAGTTCACTGGAACAACTGCCATTAAAATATTTATAGAAAAACAGAGGGTAGCAATGTCATGACAATAGGAAAATGACTATAGTTGAGATGACAAGTCAGGAGCAAAAACATTAGAAACCGTTCTTTGAATTTTGTCGATAAAATTCTAACTTTGTAGCTGGAGCATCAGTCCATGAAATTGCAGCAATATTCAATGCAAAATGGCAAATTTATAAATGTGTAAGATGGATTGTGGTGAGAAAAAATGTCTATTGTCTTGCATCAGCTGTGATCTTTGTATTATATTGAAAAAAAAAAAAATTGCTAGTCAAAACATGTCAATTTATCCTCTAGTTATTTTGATAGAATTCAACATGCTTTACTTTTTGTTATATACCATACCTATGAACACTAATGGGTATGTCCCAATCCTCATAAATATGTTGGACACTATTATAAGTGGGAGTAATATACTGTCTAAGTAGTCCACCACTAGCAGTGGTTTACCTACTTCATGCCGCTTGCAAGTATTGTATTTTGTTAATGTTATAAAGTAATCTTTTCTAGGTTACAGCACTTTCATCAAATGTGTACCCTTCTTTCAGCAATTTCCTAAATATTAAATGGTATCAAAAGTATTTTCATTGTTTTCTCCAAAACTGTAAAATAGATTAATATATTTTTTGGATCTTATATAAAATTTAGCGTCCATTACAAATCAACTAATAAAAATGATCTTATAAATTTCTATTCTCATCATAGCAACAAAATAAAATCAGAAATAATCATCTGATTCTATTTAAGAGCATTCTCATAATTTGTAGCCCTCATTATTTAGATGAAGAGGAAAATACACTGAAAATACTTTTAAGCTCCTAATTATTTTATACCCAATGAAAAAGGCTCATCAAATATTTCAAAGTAGAAAAGTGGTTCTCCCTGATGAATCAAAATATATTGTTCTACTCACCAGCCCTAAGAAAATTACAATTGAAAAGAATTTATCTTGACTTGACATAAAATTTATCACAACTACATCTAAAACAACAAAAGACTTAATTAATACAAATCAAAACTTTAAGGAAAAATCAAACTTTACTTGTAATAATTGCTACAGGGAATACATAGGAAGAATTTAAATAAGCAATTGTTTGAACATAAGAGGGATCATTTACTAAACGATACATTAAATTCATTAGTCACTCACCATAATGAGACTGACCATAATTTTGATTTAAAAAATGCTACTCTAATTAAAAGAGAAAATTTACCAAGACAAAAATATTTAGAAGGGGCTTTAATCGCTAGATCATCCACAACAAATTTGTGTCTATATCTTTTATTATCACAATGTGTGATATTTAATAATAAAACATCTTCACTATCCAGCTCCAGGAGCATTCTGGGTTAACAAATTTAATGTCCTGGGTATGACGATAAGCTCTTTAATGTCCTGGGTATGACGATAAACTACATTATTGTCCTGTGATAAGCTTTAATGTCCTGGGTAATATAAACCTGGGTATGACGATAAGCTACATTAATGTCCTGGGTATGACGATAAACTCATTAATGTCCTAGGGACGATAAGCATTAATGTCCTGGGTATGACGATAAGCTACATTAATGTCCTGGGTATGACGATAAGCTACATTAATGTCCTGGGTATGACGATAAGCTACATTAATGTCCTGGGTATGACGATAAGCTACATTAATGTCCTGGGTATGACGATAAGCTACATTAATGTCCTGGGTATGACGATAAACTACATCCACATCCTGGGTAAGATGATAAACTACATCCAACAGCAAGGCCTCTGATAATACGTTTTTGGAAAAAATAATGTTGCCAGCTGTACGTTTTTGAAAAAATAATATTACCGGCTATACATTTTTGAAAAAGTAATATTACCCGCTATATGTTTTTGAAAAAATAATATTACCAATGATACATTTTTTTTAAAATAATATTACCAGCTATATGTTTTTGAGGAAAAGAATATTAACAGAAATAGATTTTTGACAAAACAAAAATATTACCAGGAAAAAAATAAAAAGTTGTTGGCATTAAATGACCCATTGAGGTTGATATACTGTAAAACAAAACAAGCCAAACCAGCTCCAGGCCTCCCTCATTGTCACTACTGTCTCCTTGTTTTGTTAATATTACATTTGACCAAAACCAACAGAGACATTCGAGCTACAAACCTGTGGGTACATATGATTGAGTTGCTGTCCTAGTTTTTTTTTCTTTTCTTAAACAGTGAAATTAAATAACAACCAGCCTAGATTAAGAAGTCCTCATCATCTCCTTTCACCTCTCTATAGTCGATTGGAACTCCATTGACAATCCCTTTCCACACTGTTTGGTCCTGCATTGCTGTTTCCAGTTACCCAATGTCCAACCCTGACACTCAAGCTATGGTGTCTGGGAAAGTCAATTTTCATGAGAAGACACTTCCAGAAGGATGCCATAGGAGTAAGGATGAGATGATTTCCTTGTCTGCTCAGTGGCAGTGGCCAGCAAACTAATCATTTTTATTTGAGCTTTAGAGATATATATCTCAGTTCTCCATAAATTGTGTAAGTGTTGCATGGAATCTCCAACTGATGTTCTGGATTTTTCTAAGCAGATTTGAATATGTTCCATCCAGTCATCTTTCAAGACGAACAGATAATGTCCAAGTTTCTGATTCATACAGTAGAACTGGTTCAATCAGCGTTTGAAAGGTTTGGACTTTTAAAGAGGATGTAAGTTTTGAGCACCAAATCTTGTGAAATTTGTTACACACATCCCATGAAAGAGCTTTGCAGGTGCTGAAGTCTTTTTGGGAATCTATTATGCAAAATCCAAGATATTTGAAGTCTTCAACTCTTTTGATAGATGTATTATTGAGTGACTTCAACGGGGATGGTTCACAGGAGGTTGTGATATATTCTGTCTTGCTCACATTGCAATAGAGACCTATCTATAGGTATTACTACATTATATATATATATATATATATATGTATGTATGTATGTATGAAGAGTGCAAAAACCACAGAACACGAGAGGTGAACAAAGAACACATTGCCATCTACAGATCCCCAATGTCCAACACTGAGGCCCTAGCTATTGTGTCTGGGAAAGTCAACTTTCGTGAGAAAAGACATCTGGTAGGATGCCATAGAAGTAAGGATGAGACAACCTCTCCGTCCGCTCGATGGTAGTGGATGGCAAACTGCAATTGTTTTTGTTTGAGCTGAAGAGAGATTGGTCTCAGTTCTTCGTAAAGTGTGTTAAATGTTGCATGGGATCACCAACTGATAATCTGGATAGAGGATAGAAAGTTTGAGTGCCAAATCTTGTGAAGTTTTTTTACACGCATCCCATACAAGAGCATTGCAGATGTTGAAGTCATACAAGAAGTCCTACTCGGTGCATTGTAATCAATTTCTGTTTAAGAAAAATAAAAAAAAAACAGAGATAGTAACTCAAACATGTGAACCAAGTAAAAATTAAAAATAAAGTCTATAAAATAAGAAATAATGTCCAATTATAAAATCCATTTAAAAATCATGTGCATACATGTGTATATTGTATGCTTCAGTAAGTCTGTAAAAAACAAATTTCCCTTTCGTCTATTATAATATATAATAAGGATATTAGAAATCTAACAAATTCAAATGTACATTAAAATAGTTTTTAGTTATTATCAGTAAAAGCTGAAAATGCTATTGCTACTATTATAATAATAATATAGTGGACTCATAGTCTTTAGATGTGTACATGAAATAAGATTTTAGTAGAGGTTCATAAAAATTGAAAATATGTTTGATAAATCCTAATATAATTGTGCTTCAGTATCTGTCTATATTTCTGAGATGAGGTATTATGTACATTATTTACATTATTCGGACTATTGTCTTCATCTTTGTCACCATATTTATTACAACATTTTGGCCGTTGTACATTCCAGCCTTCTCCAGGTAGTTGGAATGTCGAACTGAACCCTTTATTTTGCTCAATATACCCAGTTAAGGCAGTGGAGAACTTTCAGAGGGAAATTAACAGGAAATAACTGATAACTGACATCCATTAAACATGGTATGTAGAACTAGAACAGTCTACCTCAGTGAGCAAAATAAAGGGTTCAGTTCGACATTCCAACTACCTGAAGAAGGAGCATACAACGGCCAAAACGTCGTAATAAATATGGCGACAAATATGAGGACAATAGTCTGAATAATGTAAATAATGTATAATTGTGCTTGTCACTCTTTCCATTATCTCACACGACTGTTACGCCCTGCCAATACCTCATAAATAATGGACTATTCCATTCTGATCACATGGAAAGAGGGGAAAAGACACTACTTGGTTTCAGTGAGAAAATGAAAGAAAGAAGTGTTTTAACGTTTGTTTTAGTGACATTAAAAAAGTTGTCAATTTCAAATCTTTTCATTTGTACCTCCTTACTTCTTAAAATAACAACCAGCATTCATATTTATGATTCGTATTGCAATATTTTCTTAAAGTTGTTAAGCTCAAATATTTAATGATGTGATTGGGAAATTTTTAAGGATAGTTTATTGTCATAGAATTCGCCATGTGGTTATTTAATCATTAAATTAAGAAGAATTAAGATTTATCAGAAAATCCAA